TGACAATTGCTATGGGAAAAAGAATAGCAAGAGAATGAAGTCTGTTTTGTGTGGTCAGGAAGGGGTTGGGCTGTTAAATGGAGTGACTCATGAAGGTTGTGCTTCAAACGTGAAATAAGTCAATCGGAGAAGGACAAGACATTATATGGTCTCATTCATTTGGGGAATATAAAAATTAATGAAAGGGAAAGGAGAGAAAATGAGTGAAAATATCAGTGAGGGTGACAAAACATGAGAGACACCAAACTCTGGGAAACAAACAAAGGGTAGTGGAAATGGAGGTGGGTGGGGGGGTCGGGTGACTGGATGACAGGCCCTGAGGGGGGCACTTGGCGGGGTGAGCACTGGGTGTTATGCTATATGTTGCCAAATTGAACTCCAATAAAAAAATTAAAAAAACAAAACAAAACAAAAACAAAAAAAACAAAGGTGCCTGTGTTACCAAATGCAGTTAAGGGAACAACCATGTGGATATCTGAGCTAGAAGTGGTGCAGTTATAGGAGATAGCTAGTGCAAAGGCCCTGAGGTAGGGTCTTGCCTTGTATATTAGGAGGCCAGTAGCTAGAGTGAAATACTTGGGAAGAGAGAAAAAGAAGGCTGAGAGGTAGCTGGGTCAGTGACAAATACTGTAGGACTTGTAATTACTATAAATGCAGAAGTTGGCCTTACTCTGAATGAAAAGGGAAACTAGTGGAAGATTTTGAGCAGAGGAATGACATAACATTTCTAACAGGTATATGTTTATCCTCAACAAACATACAGTATTTTTAGACTTTTTTGTAAATGTACATATTGTGCTACATATCTCATTCTGCTTTTAAGTTTTCTACTCATCCTTGTTTCTGAGATCTACCCAAGTTGCTGTCTGTAAATCTACTTTATTATCTCTGACTGTGTCATATTTCATTGTGCACACATGGCACATTGTACTTATGTATTATTCTAGGAGCAGACACTGGCACAGCCCCCACTTCTTGCCACCACAACCAGTCCTGTGATGAATGTGCTCACATGCATTCCTTATGGATTCAGGAGACAGTACCTAGGTGCATACCTGGGAGAGGGACTGGGAGGTGGGAGGGTGTGTGGATTCTTAATTCCACTGGGATTGTGCTTCAGTGACACTCCCACTAGCGGTGCATGATGGTTTGTATCTTCTCACTGAATTCTCATGCAGTGAGGGAGGTCAGGTGAGGGCCCTTGTGGACAAGGAGACTGACGCTTAGAGGGAGTAAGCAAATTCCCTAAGTTCATGTGGTCACGTGGAAGGGCCAGGACACACATGCAGCATTTCTGAGATAATGGTCATTACTCTTCCTTCTATAGTGCCCAGCACTGCCTCTTTCAGAAATAACATGAGGCATCTGTAGGCACAGATATTGTTATTATTATCTGAAGGCAAAGATGTTATTTACTATTATTATTACTTATTATATCTGAGCCTTACATTTCTTGATGCCTGCTCTAACTCCATTAGCCTAGGGCCCTCTCATGTTTAGCACCAACATGGATGAGAATGTCTAGTTAGAGTCCTTAGGGTTTCAAGGCAAATTATATGTTAAAAACAAAACAAAACAAAACTTGTTTTCATTGTCTCTTGAGGGCTAGCTAACTGGCTTGAGATTTAGCAGATGATTTTGAGGTTAAACATTTATAAAGACTGATTAGCAATGTTAGAGGACTCTAGATCAGATTTAATATTATGTGTTAGCTAGATGATATTATGTCCATACTGTTTGCTAAACACCGAGCTACGTAATTTACAGGCATAATTTATCTTGCGCCTCACAACTACCCTGTGAGGGATTTACTTTTAATCCCATTTGGCTAGTGTGCAAACTAAAGGCCTGGGAGGTGAAGCAATTTTTCCAGAGTTACTTGGCTATGAGGTTGAGTTGTGAATGACCCTCAACAGTCTACGTCCAGAGCCTCACTCTAAACTACTAAATTGTGCTGCCTTCCTGTGAAGGAAGCTTTTACAATCTCTTCCTCTTGAACTTGAGGACAAGTTGGGGGTGGCTTAGAGCAGTCAAGGGAAGTACAGGACCAGTGGACTAGAATCTCCAGAGGGAAAGGATCTGAAGTTTGAACATGTCCCCCGCTGTCTTCATTATACCTGCTTCTGTCCCTTGAAGTGAGAACCTATGTGTTAGGACATCCTACCTGGATTATAGCACTTGAGCATGATGCCTTCAAAAGAGTAAGTGGGTAGGGCATGGGTAGTTGTTTGCCTATAACCACAGGCAGACTAATGGCTTTACAACAAGTGTCCTCAAAGGCAAACTATTCTTTATCACCCTCTTTTACCTATACCCGCCATGAATGATGTGTGGTCAAGCTTTTACCACAATTGTATTTCCTTTCACACTTTTCATTTTCCTCGCCTTCTCCAAGGAAGATGATACCATTTATATCTTTACCTGACACAGGTTTATAAAGGTTGCCTGGCTACAAAGTATGTGTCTCAATGTCCAGTAGATAGGAAGTCTGGATTATGTACTCTTTCGGGTTTCTCTTCTTAATTTAGTATTTGTTCAAGAAATATTTATTGAGCACCCAATTCACAGTCTGATGAAAGATATAGGCAGCTGACCGGGAATTCTGATACGTTAGGGTCAATGGCACGTGGGGAAGCTCAGGTGCTCTGAGAGCACATAGAAAGGGCATCATAAGGGTCAGAGGAAGCTTCCTAGGGAAGTACTCTTGAGGTGTGAACTGAAAGAGATTTGGGGGGCGGATAGGTGAGTGAAGGGGTTAGGAAAGTGTTAGAGGCAAGGGAACAGGGTGAGTGCTGAATTTTGAAGCTAGAGCAAAAACTGGGCAGGGAATAAGGCTGGAGGAATCATCAGAGGTGAGATAGTAAAGGAAGGAAGGACTATGAAGGAAGGGCAGTGGAAATCACGGAAGGGTCTGCAGCCTGGGGGTCGGTGGGGCACCCTTCAGTCACATTTATAGTGTAGAAGGGTTCCATGAGCTAAGAACTGAGCCTCCTTATCTTTATCATGTGTGTGTTGGTTAGGCATAACATTGGGACTGGTGAGTAGCAAATAAAGAGTCTACATGGATTTCTAGGTGGAAGGTCTTACCCAATAAGCCAAGCATTACTTTTGATTATCTATAGAGAAAACTCTTCAGCTCTGAGTTGATCTTTCTTGTCTTTCAAAATCTCTGAAAATCTTTCCAAAAATTCTCTCAAAACCAAAACCCGAGTAGGGTGTAGATTGGGGCCTGCATGATTTTGTGTTCTCTGTCATCCACTACTCATTTCTGGGGCATTGCTATATTGTTTGTCCAAAGCCTTGCTCCCCTTAAGGAGGTGACCATTTGAATAGCAGCAGGGGAAGAGGAGAAAGGAGGAAACACATGCTAATACCTTCATTTACAAAACATCTTGGAATGGTTTGAGCAAGTTAAAAATAACTCCTTGTGAAAAATTAATAGACAGTTAGAAGTGAGTCTTTTTTTAATACAAGCTCACAGAACAGGGCAGATTCTAGAGGACCCTGGCAGCTGACGTCACTGAAGGCATAGGGTGTATATAGAGTACAGTGTGGCCAGTAAGGAGACTGTCTGCAGAAGTGAGCTCACCTACTCTCCTGGAGCCCAGAGAGGGAGGAGATAGAAGGAATTGTTTAGGTTGTGAGCTACTGAGCTAGGTGACTTATTTCTTTTCTCCTTACCCATCATATTCTCATAACTGTGGACACAAAAACTGTAGTGAATTTTGCCTGGCTACTTTGGGTGAGGTATATTGAGTGTCAGAATTCCCCAAACCACCTTCCTGGCTCCTCTCCCTTCTCAGTCCTGGACCTGCGGTGGCTGCTGCCTCCATTTCTTTTTTTTAATTTATTTTATTTTATTTTTTTAATAAATTAATTTTTATTGGTGTTCAATTTACCAACATACAGAATAACACCCAGTGCTCATCCCGTCAAGTGTCCCCCTCAGTGCCGGTCACCCATTCACCCCCACCCCCCGCCCTCCTCCCCCTCCACCACCCCTAGTTCATTTCCCAGAGTTAGAAGTCTTTATGTTCTGTCTCCCTTTCTGATATTTCCCACACATTTCTTCTCCCTTATATTGCTGCCTCCATTTCTTGAGGGTTTCCTTCCCAGGCAGCCTGGTCCTCTCTTTCTTGCAGGTGGTTATGAGCACTCTGCCCCTTTCTCCCTCCTCCTCTCTGTTCACTGCACTGCTGTGGGCCTAGGTGGGTAAAGGGAGGGGGTGGTCTGTACATTCCTGGCCATCAATACAGCTGAATGGATGAGGCAGAGTGAGGAAGGGGGCCAAAGTGCCATCTCACCTTGATTAACTGATGTTGGGGCTGAGAGTTTTAAGACCCAGGAACCAACAATTGTATTTTAAACTCAGATGATATTTTAAATATGGTTCTGTAATTGCAATGAGGCCTGCTGGTCCTTGAATTAATGTCATAACTCATGCTCAAGCACTTTGCACATAATCCACCTGTGAATTATTGAACGATATCTTCATGCCTTGTTTTGTCTTATAGCTTAATTAGTACATGAAGCTAAATAAGTTAGATGAACCCAAATGGGATTATGTCACGTGTTATGTAAAAAAGCACAATATTGGGAGATGTTTGGCACTTTTTCTGAGGGGAAAACAGGGTTGAGTTTCCTATGATGCCCTTTGGTGTCAGTGTCTGTGGTATTTGGGCTGCAGCACCTGACATGGGACTTCTGAGCTTTGGTTGGTGGGTTGAACACCATGTTTATTTTTTTATTTAGGTGTTGTTTCTTTACTCAGGTGATAGTTATTTTTTTTTACATACTATCTATTGTTCACCTAGGCACTAAGGAGGGAGAGCAAATACCAGAAGAATACGAAGTAGCAGCTTGGAAACCTAAGAAGCTGAACTCGTAAGCCCCAACCCAACTTTGTGTAACTTGGCCTCACTGAACCTGATCCCAGACTCTCTGCTCCCTGGGCTTGCTACAGCTCTTCGATACTAGAATCCTATTCAATTCCAGCTAAAATGCAGCGACAGGCACTTCACAGGTTTGGTCAAAGGCTTGTTTACAGACGTCCAGTGGAGCTAAGTGAAACTGAGACTTCCTCTGCCAGAACCCTGACTACTCTGGACTTAGTGGCCCTGGGTTTAGACTACACATTAGGTGCAGGTATATATTTCCTGGCTGGTGAGGTGGTCAGCAATCAAGCAGGACCAGCCACTGTGTTATGCTTTTTGGTGGCTGGCCTATCCTCCGTGTTGGCTGGGCTGTGCTATGCAGAGTTCGGTGCCTGGATTCCACGTTCTGGCTCTGCATATCGCTTCACCTATGTCACTATGGGTGAAATCTGGGCTTTCATCACTGGCTGGATCTTCATCATCTCCTTTGTTGCTGGTGCAGCCAGTGTGGCCCTGGCTTGGACCTTAGCTTTCGACTATCTGATTGGGAACCAGATTTCTCAGGCCATGCGTGAAAGCGTTTTACCGCATGTTCCACATGTGCTTGTGGAATATACAGACTTCTTTGCTATGGGCCTGGTGTTGTTGCTCACTGGAATACTGGCTCTGAGGGCTAAGGAGTCAGTCTTGGTTACCAAAGTGATCACATTATTGAGCCTTTTGGTTCTCAGTTTTGTCATCCTCTCTGGCTTCATTAAAGGGGACCTGCACAACTGGAAGCTCACAGAAGAGGATTACATAAAGGCTGGATTCAATGGCACCTCTAGCTTGGGCCCTCTGGGCTCTGGAGGATTCATGCCTTTTGGCTTCCAGGGAATTCTCCGTGGATCAGCTACCTGTTTCTATGCATTTATAGGTTTCAACAATATCGTTACCAGAGCTGAGGAAGCCCAGAATCCCAATCGTTCCATCCCCATGGGCATTGTAATTTCACTGTTCATCTGCTTTTTGGTATATTTTGGTGTCTCTTCAGTGCTTACGCTTATGGTGCCCTACTACCAGATTCATAGTGGGAGCCCCTTGCCTGAAGCATTTCTCCATATTGGCTGGACCCCTGCTTGTTATGTTGTGGCTGCTGGAGCTCTCTGTACTCTTTTAACCACCATTTTGAATGATATGTTCTACTCCCGTCAGATGATCTTGGTGATGGCAAAAGATGGCCTCCTGTTCCATGTCCTTGCCAGCACCCACACCAGCAAAGACATCCCCATCGTGGCCACTGTGGTCTCGGGCACTATGGCAGCAATCATGGCATTATTCTTTGAGCTCATTGATCTTGTGGACTTCATGTCAGTTGGGACCCTGTTTACTCACTCCCTGGTGGCTGCTTGTGTCCTCATCCTCAGGTATCAGCCTGAGAGGAAGAATGAGGGAAATGAAGCACAGGTGCAGGAGGAGAACAGACCTGTAGCAGAGAGGCTGACTCTACCGACACTATTTTTTCCAGGCAGCCCCACCCCCACTCCACTTTCTGGCCAGGTTGTCTCTGCTTGCTCCTCACTGCTTGCTCTGCTGCTGACTCTTCTCTGCCTGGTGCTGGCCCAGTGGCCTCGTCTGCTATCCGGAGACCCAGTGTGGATCACAGTGGTTATGCTCCTCCTGGTGCTCATCACTAGCGTCACTGGAGTCATCTGGAGACAGCCACAGAGCTCCACTGCCCTTCACTTCAAGGTACCTGGTCTGCCTCTCCTCCCACTCCTGAGCATCTTTTTGAACATTTACCTCATGGTGCAGATGATAGCTGGTACCTGGGCTCCATTTGGTGTCTGGATTCTGATTGGGCTTGCTATCTACTTCAGCTATGGGATTCAGCACAGCCTGGCCCCTTAAACCCACTTCACTTAGGGCCTATACTGTAGATCTTGAACTCAGCAGTGCCAGTACATATTTGCTTTGGCATTGTCTTACTTGAATGTGGGTCCCCCTGCACAATAATGAGGAGTACTGTTGAGCTCATGAAACATAGGCCTCTCACAGGATTTTGGTGGGGGCAACGGTAATATGGCTCTGTATTGTGGAGGAAAGAATGTGTCTTTGCTCTTTCTCTTCTCTTTTTATTTCCTTTGCTTGTCTGCTTTTCACTTGTGTCCATAGCTTACTGGCTTTGAAAAATCATTATTAAAGGAAACCAGAAAAAGTGTTTTGTTTTCTTTGAGTAAATACCTAGTAGTAGAAATACTGGATCATACGGTAATAGTATTTTTAATTTTTTTGAAACCTGCACACATTTTCCATAGTGGCTGCACCAATTTTCATTCACACAAGCAGTGCATGAGGTTTCCTTTTTTTCAGAGTCATTGCTGACACTTCTTAGTTCTTGTCTTTTTTATTTTCGCCATTCTGACAAGCGTGTAGTGGTATCTCCTTGTATTTTTAATTTTCATTTCCCTGATGATTAGTGATGCTGAGTATATTTTCATGTGCCCATTGGCCTCTGCTCATTTTTTTAAGTGGATTTTTTTCGGTTTTGAGTTGAATAAGTTCTTTATATGTTTTGGATATTAAGCATTTATTAGGTATATCATTTTCAAATATCTTATCTCATTCAGTGGGTAGCATTTTTGTTTTGTTGATAGTTTTTTTCACCGTACAAAAGGTTCTTATTTACATGATTTTGGAAAGATAGATGCATGGTTATGGTTATTGCCACATTTTATACGATAGCCAGGACATGGAAGCAGTACAAGCGTCCATAAACAGATGAATGGATAAAGAAGATGAAGTATATATAGAGAATGGAATAGTAGTCATCCATTGAAAAGAAAAATCTCGGCATTTGTAACAATATGGATGTATTGAGAGGGAATACTGCTAAGTGAAATATGTCAGTCAGAGAAAGACAAATACCATATGATTTCAAACATATGTGGAATTTAAGAAAGAAAACAAATGAAGAAACAAAAGGGGGGGAAAAAGAAACAAACGAACAAAAACCCCACCCAGACTCTTAAATACTGGAATACTAAAGGAACAAATACTTAAATATTAAAGGAGCAAATCGGTGTTCACCAAAGGGGAGTTAGGTGCACTGACAGATGAAATAGATAAAAGGAATTAATTGTACACTTAGAAGCACTGAGAAATATACAGAATTGTGGAATCATTACATTGTACCACTGAGAGCAATATAACAACATTGTTTGTTAATTACAGTATAATAAAACAATAAAGGAAACTATAAAAAGACCAAAAAAGAGTGGAAATGTAGCGCCTGCCCTTAAGGAGCTTATATTCTAATATAAAGCATAAAGTATAGCTGTGACACAAATTAGAAAATGTTGTTAGGACGCCTGGGTGGCTCAGTGGTTGAGCGTCTGCTTTCAGCCCAGGGCGTGATCCTGGAGACCCAGGATCGAGTCCTGCATCGGGCTTCCTGCATGGAGCCTGCTTTTCTCTCTGCCTCTGTCTATGTCTCTGTCTCTCTCTGTGCCTCTCATTAATAAATAAATTCTTTTTAAAAAATTAAAAAAAGAAAATGTTATCATAAGTAACATACAAATTAAGTAGGAATTCAGAATGGAGGATAATCATTTGTGGGTGGAACAGAGGTGAGGGTTAAGTGGTGAAATCAGAGAAGATGCTGTAGAGGAATGGCCCTTGTGTTGGCTCTCTCCAGAGTAAGATAACAATTTCCCACACATGGTCAGAAAGGAGAGACTGTAGGCAGAGAGAACAGCAATAGTAAAATCAGAGGAAAAGAAGCAATGTGCAGAGCACACTGAGCAGGATTTGTAGCCTGAGCCGTGGCTGTGTGAGGGGGCAACAGGGCATGCACAAGGGGATTAGAGCAGAGCTTTCTTCTGAGCACAGAAGGCACTTTGGCTTTGAACCCACTACCCATGCTGAAAATCTCTGGGGCTGGTACTTCTAGTTGGTGGGATTGGCATTCTTGGACTTCAGAGTTTCTTCACTGATGTCTGCTTTGGTCCACCAGCTCAGAAAGTGCACAACTGAAAGCCATGGGTCCTGGTTTCCTGCATGGTTTCCACCACCAACTAGCAATATGAGCTTGGGGGAGCCCCTCAGTTCCTTCCACGCTCTGCTTATTTAACTGTAACACATGAGGTCAGAAATAATCATTTCTAAAGTTCCGATTACTTAAAAAATTCTAAGATTCCCCCTGGTTCTTCTGTTCTGTTATTCATTCATCTAGGTCTCTGTACTGTATGAGATCTGTACCTGCATCCTGCCCACATTTCACTACAACTCACTATTGGAACTGTAGAGGTACAATAAATAGCATGCCATTCCACCACCACCCCCATGTTTGGAACCAATTGATAATCCAGAGATAGAGACAGACAATTAAACAGTCAGCTGTAGATATGCATCCTAATTGGCTTGTGAATCCTGCATCACTCCATTAAATTGACAGACGTACTCATCACAAGTAGTACTGAGCACCTCCTGTCTCCCAACACAAGAGGGAGCCTGCTTTTATTAACTTTTCCTTTGTATGAGCAGGTTAGAATGCATGTGTCCTATGGGCAGGTTGATTTTGGATAAAAAAAGGAAATCAACCAAAAACTCGAAGGGGCTGAGTGTCATCTCTTCAACCCACTAATCAAAGTCATAGTGCGAGAGGTGGTGGAGAGAGGCCAGGAATAGTTCTCTGCTAAGTGGTGCTCAACCTTTAGCAAATGTCACCTCACCCACAGGACTGGTGAAAACACAGATTTCTGGGCCCCCATCCCCAGCATTTGGAATTCAGTAGGTCTGAGTGGAGGCCAGAACTGGCACTTCTAACAAGTATGCTGGTGATGCTGATACTGCTGGTCCAGGGAACTCATGTTGAAGATCAAGGTTCCAGCTGAAGCCCTTGCACATGTAAAGATGAAGCAAAGGAAACATACACACCCTTTGATCATTTCCCTCATCTAAGGAAACACTTATATTAAAATACAACCTTTAATCCTTCCACAGTGGGGAAACCATAGTGAATCGTTTCATAATATATATGTATATCAAAACACCACAATGTACACTTTAAATATATTATAATTTTACATGTGAATTATGACTCAATAAAGCTGAAATTAAAACAATCACAGTTATCTGTGTGTTTTATTTTTTTCAAATTTGTTACTTGATTGTAGATCAACAGGAGTGTATCTTGTTCACTCCCCTGAGCATCCACCTGGGGCCACGCACGTAATGAGCATTTAATAAATTCATGTTAAATTTAATTGAGCCTTACTTTTTTTTGGCATAGAAAACCCTCCTTTCTTTCAAACTAGCACTGTACTACTTTTAAAACTATCTTCTAGGAGACTTTCTTGGCAAACAGCATTTCTATAACTGTAACTAGATCTGTACCAAGCATCTAGAACTGTACCAGGCACTTCCAGTTTTGCCTTTGTGTGGCTATGCCTGAATTCTGGACCTATCTTGTGTGTTTTATCAGAGCGGAATCTTGCTTAGTGCAGGGAGTAGGTTCTTCCATTCCTTTATATCCAACATTAAGAAGAGTTTTGTTTATTCAAAGAGCAACAGGGTAAATACCGACCTGGGGCAGGAGAATGTCTGACACAATCACCTTGGTCCTGCTTCATCTATTCCCATGGGATATGGTGGGGGTGGGTGGGGAAAGAAGTAGTGAAATTGAGAGAGGGTTCAACCAGTTTATTTGACTCCAGGGAATTCCAGAAGATGAGACTGGCTCCAGTGTAGGCAGACATCTTCTTCGACACAGTCAGGGGTTTATGATTGGCATAGTAGAGCCAGAGTTTTTCTATTATACTTATGTATAGGGACTGCCTAGGAGGGAGGGATGGGAAGCTACTCTCTTACTTGTGGAATTTCTTATCTTCCCAACAGGGAGTAGGTGACTTCAGGGATGCCTGCTAGTGGCAGGATTACCCAAATACTTAGAACTCCTTTAGATGCTTTTTTGAGAAACTGATGTAAAAACCTTGTGAGAGCATCTAAGATTTCTTGGGGGGAGAGAATTTATACCTCAAATGGGGAGAAAAGTGGACCAAAATAGGAGAAATTAGGAATTGAATAGGGATTGAGGCATCATTATTTGAGAAGGAAAGGTATGAGCAGAAATGAGATCCTTCCTGGAGGAGGATGCCAATGAAGCAATTTAGGAAATAGAAAAGGGATAGGTGAGTTGGACAAGAAATAGGACAGTAATACTAGGCTACAGGGACCTTTTGGAGTGATGGAGATGAGACTCTATTAAGGAATGTGTATTTTCACATCTGAAGGGATTTATGAGCCAAGTCTGTGTTATGTATTATTCCATGGAACAAGATTCCTGAATCAGGAAAGGATGGGATATGATTCTCATTGCCATCTTGAGGATAGACAGACAGAAGGTTGTAGACAGAGAGACTGTTCCTGGGAGACAGCTGTAGTACCTGCTATGGTCTTCTAGATCGTGCTCTTCAGAGTGTGGTCCATGGACCAGCGGTGTGCGTGTCACCGGCAAGCTTGTTAGAAATGCAGAATCTCAGGCTCAAACCCATAGCTGCTGAATCAGAACATGCATTTTTAACAGACTCCAAGTGCTTCAAATGGTCTTTCTAGTTTGATAAGCACTCGACTTGGGTGATGGATGACAGGTGTCAGACTTCAGATGACCACTGTGGAAAGGTGTGACAACTTTGGAATTGGGAATATAAGAGGAGGGGCCCAGGCTGGGGAAATTGAATTTGGGGAGAAGTGTGGGCTGTGGCTGCCCTCCTGTTCCCAGGCCTCCCAGGCCAGTCACTATGGCAGGGTTAGTGCTCCGCCCACTTCGGGATGCCTCTGCCCTCGCTGGAGTCTGCCTGGTTCTCATGGGTCCTCTGGGGCATGGATTACATGGGTTACCCCTGTGGCCA